TGTCATGAATAGTAATGTTAATATTTTTGTAGACAGAGATATTTGGAAGGGGCTGTGATCCATAGGTTGAGAACCCAGAGAAACTAAATGGAACATACTTACAGCTTTTGAGATTTCCATGTATTTATTATTATTTGTAGCTTTAAGGAAGTTGGACTAAGAGAAAGGTACAATGTTTGTTCTGAAACATAAGACATAATCCTTTATTATGCATTGGATCTATAAGCTAGAGGATGACAGAAAAGAGAGACCTTAATTGTGAAGGTTTCAGATCATTCGAAGATTAAACACAAGTCATATTAGTGCATTATAAGACTTTTGGTAAAGATATAGTTTTCAACCTAATCATATCACCTTTAAATAAACCTACTTTGTCATAGATTCATTTTATTTATTTAGATTAATTCTGAGTGTTTAAATAGGTTAATGTATGCTTACATGAGTTCACGAGATGACAGTGATGTTATTTGAGGCCTCTCTTTTCCTAAATAATTATACAAGTTGGTCTTTGAAGTTAGAAGTGCTTGTTTGAGCTATGCTTGATAGCCAAATAAAAGTGTGTGATTTTAATTCATGTGTGCACCAACTGGATGCAACAAGATAGGACCGAGTGGGGAATAAGAGATAAGATTCTCTGTTAAGTTTGTCTCTAACTCCGTGACCTTGGATAAATGTATATTTATTTCATAAGATGCAGGCAAAACCTGCCCCCTACCTATCTTCTGGAGCTGCTGCAAGATTTATTGAACTAGAAGAAAAAGTGGTTTATAGGTCTAGAGAGACTGAAGTCACATAAATGCAAAGCAGTAGGATTTATTCTTTGAGTTATACAAAGGTAAACCGGCTTTCATAGCATCCCTATGTGTCAGGTAGGTAACCTTAGCCCACATTTTCCAAATATAAGGGCTTAAGTACTTCTGCTTAAGCAACCTAGATTGGGTGTCTGAGAAGACACAATGACTGGATTCAGACTGTGCCCAGTATTTATCTGATACCTGAAAGTACTTTAAAGGGCAGCTTAAACTTTTCCTACCATTCCTTTGGCAGAGTATGGAAACAGCCTGCATATTGTTCTATCTGGTTTTTTTCTGCAGTTCTTCATGGCATTCATCTGAAATGCAAAAAGCCTTTTCTCAGCAGTATCCCAGGAGAGCCAAGGACTTGCAAGCTATTAAGAAACACTGTTCTAGTGATGAAGCATATAATATGATTTAATGTAAGCTGAAGTCAAGGTATCCATCAGACAAGGAGCAATGGAAGACAGACAAAAGAATTTAAGAATTGACCTGACAGCTGGGAGTGGTGGCACCTGCTTATAACCCCATATATGGTAGGCTGAAGGAGGAGGATCACAAGGCTCAGGCCAGCCTGGTCTGCATAGTGAGACCTTGCCTTGAAAAACCAAAACAAAGAAAGTTAGCTAACTCTTGCAGTAGGATTGTGGCAGTGATGAACATTCTGCCCTGCTTAGCATCACCTCCTTAGGCATACCAAATAAAGGCAAGCAGACAGGAACTACTAACACACTTACCTCCTCTCCCTCCACACAATGGTCCCTTACTCACCTGTTACAGTGTTGCTTGTTCAATGATACTGAAACTGACTATGCTTTTACTGGGTGCCTACTCCATAGAAAGCCACCAACAAATGTTGTCTGCTAGCTGAATTTAGAGTAGAGAGAATTCCAGCAGGAATGGATATGCAGAAGCTTTACCAGTGTGACCCTGGGTGGCAATTGTTTGACATCATATGCAAAATGGAGAAAATGGTAATATTTAGCAGTGAGAAAATTCACACAGGAACCATATAAGTTGTTACATTTAAAGGCTGGAGCACAGGGTCTCACACAGAGAATACATCTGATTTACAGTGTTCCCTGCTAGGTGAGATGTGGGTAGTGTTTCTACAGTTACATGGTTGTTCTTTTTTGAGCTCTTAATGAACCAGACACTGAGGGAGACATTGGGAAAAGTGCAGATTAATAAGACTGCTATCATCCTTCACCTCACATAACTTTTGGAGGAGGGTTGCTAACCAAGAAAACAAACACAGGATTAAATAACACTGGAAAGTTACTATTAAGAGACTGATACAGGACAGGGGCCATGGAATTACTCCTGATGAAACATTTGATGTTGATCTAGACAACAATAGGATATTTTTCATATGCAAAATTAAAAGCCCTTTTATAGGAATTATAAATATATAATCTCTTCAGGCCTATGACATTAGTTTGCTAATAACATTTTCTCAGTACAATTATAACAATAACTATTGTGGCTCATGAGATGGCTCAGCATACAGGCAATCACTGGGGTTCGTAAACTGAGGACATGAGCTTCATCCCCAAAACTGACATGGTGGAAGAAAAGAACCCATTAGGCACAATGGTCCTCTGAACTCTACACCCACACCCATTTACAGACAAAAAAATGCTAAAATAAATGTAAAACCATAATAACTTATTCCATATTGATTAACTGAACATAGTGTTGGGCAGGCTTTTCCATGTTTCACCTGTTGCTGAGAACTTTTAACCATGGGAATGCATGGTTTAGAGAATTCTGGTACTGTCTCCTACTACTTGTTAATAAAAGTCATTTGGGAAATAAAAGGAATACACACATACATAAGTACAATATTTCCTGGGGTGAGTTCTATCCACGTTTGTATAATTTTATCTTTAACAATGGATAATGGAAGTTGGGCCTTAAAATTTTTCCCTGTCCACAACAAAGTCTCAGTGACTATTATCATTTTAGCGTGATCATTCTTGGGATCTTTTTTCTTTTGTTTTTATTGCTGTTGGGATAGTTTTTTCTTTCTTTCTTTTTTTTTTTTTTTTCTGAGACAAGATTTCGCTCTGTATCCCAGACTGCCCTAGAACTCATTATGTGGCACAGGCTGGCTTAAATTTCGGGACAATCTTGGCTTCCCCAATGATAGAATTACAACATAAACCCTACACCTGGTTTTCGTGAGATCTTCCTAACATGTTTGTGGAAAAGATGCAAGATGTATGTTCTAGGAAGAAAATTCCACTCATTTGTACCATTTTTAATTCTTTCAGGAAGAGATCTATTTTAAAACTAAATTTTTAGTGAAGCAATATCTAAGACCAGGAAACTACTTAATTTTTGCTTACCCATTTTGCTTTTTTCTAGTCCCCTTTCTCTGGATGGGAATTTATTGGGTCCTTATTCTTTACTCTTCCCTGGAGGAACTCCTGTTCACTTATCTAGATGGGAAAGGAGGCTCACAGAGTATGGAAGGAAAGCAGTCAGCAAATGATAACCCTGCCTTGCACTAAAATCCTTTCTGAGAGGTAGAACAAGAACATCTGGGGCTTTGGCAGAGTGGCCTGGAAGCCTGGGGAGGAGAGAGGATTCCTGACTCCAGCCTTTATGAAGAGGCTACAACCTGCCCGAACGTGTTTCTCTTTCAGCGGAGTCTGTATTTGTATAATGCTGTTCAAAGAATCCTTGTCTTTTAATAACTAGAGGACACGCTTAGGTCCTCAACTTTGATTTCTGATATGAGCAGTCCCTAAAAATGCACTTCCTTCTTGCTTTGGTCTTCAGAGCAATTTAAATCTGATATTTTATTTTATTTTATTTTTGACACAAGATCCCATTCTGTAGCCTAGACACTTCTGTAGCTTTGCTGTGTTCTAGCCTAGCCTTGAATCAGCAAAGATCATCCCAGCTCAGTCTCCCAGGTGCTGGGACTACAGGCTGAGCTGTAGGAGCCATGGGTATGTGACATCTCCCTGGAATGGAGTTTTATCATAAAAGTTGTCCTCTAGAACATTACTAGGAAGGTTTCTCAACCAAATATTATCACTGAGTATCACTGCCAAGTGGGGTTCATGAAAAATGTAGATTCTATAGAGTAATATAACAAGTCTAAGTGTCAGAGAACAAAAATCAAATCAAAACTGGAAATTAGCACTATTTTATAACATGTTTATCCAATCCATATATATTACCTCAATAATTTCATAACTCTCATGTGCATAAGAGAATGTTATCTAGAACATGAAAACTGTAAAGAGTTTCAAAGTTATTTCAAACCTTAGAGATAACTATCAATTTGAAAAGGGCTAGGCTTTTGAGAAACTCTTTGGAATTTTCAAAGCCCTCTCACCTACTATAAATCCTTATCTGAACTTCTGAACAGTATCAGGGGATTTGGGGTAGGCTGATATTGTAATCGCAGAATTACAGAATTTAGGAACAGAAAGGATTTTAAAGATCACCTAGTGAACCATTTAATTTAACATGTAGGACGCTGAACTGCCTGAGGTCCCACAGCAAAGGCCACCAGGCACTGACTTGCTCAAGGGGGGCGGAATGCGGGTGTTAGCAACCCTGGGTTAGACACTGGCGACACCAGATGCATACAAATCCTTTCCTATATCTGTGTAATACACAGATCTACAGCAAACCCACAACTCGCATTCGCTAAGTCAATCATCTGCAGTTCCTATGGTTCAGAGCACTGTTGCTAAGCCCCGAGAATAAAACCCCAAACATGTCACTTCTTCCAAGTTTAGTCTCCCTCTTCCAAGACGTATGGAGCTACAAAATACTTGGGGAACCTTAACTTTAAAAACGTGTTTTTAAGTGCATTTGGTAGCAATGACTGGGAGGCCAGGGAAGGAATCTAGGAGGAATCACAGAGCGGGGACAAATCTTCCCAACTATATACACACGCATAGACTAAGGAGAACACACACACACACACACACACACACACACACACACACACGCAGAGAGTCAGTTAATTACGTCGCTCTCTGCTGCCTTCTGGGATCTTCCGCAAGCCAGGGCACACAAGCTCTTCTCGGAGTAAGGACTAGATGCCAACTCACTCAGTTTAAGAGGGAGAAAGAGCAAGATCCCACACATCCTGGAAAACACCAGAACCGCCCCCCGGGGACCGGTACGCGGGCTGCTTGCGGGGGGCTCCGCGGACCTAGGGGAGGGTCGTCCTGGGCATAGCCGGTGCCCGCAGCCCTGTGCGCAGAGCCCGGAGCCCCGGCAGCGCCCGCCCTCCCTCCCGCGTCGCCAGCCAGCTCGCGGCGCCCGCTCCGCCCGTGACTTCAGTTCGGCTCCACCCCCGCGCGGCGGCGGCTCGCAGCTCCGTCCCAGCCCGCGCGCTCCTCACAAGCCCAGCCCGGGCGAGCGGCAGCCACCTGCCCGGCGCCGCCTCAGCGCGCCCCGCCGCGGCCCAACTTGGATGGAGTTGGGGTCCTGAGCGCACACCCTGCCGCCTTCATCCCGAAGCCCGCGCCGCCGCCTGCCTTCGGTCCGAAATCCCCTCTCCGCTCCTCTCCGCTCCCGCGATGGGAAAAGTTGGCGCCGGCGGCGGCTTCCTGGTCAGGCTGAGCGCGCTCCTGGCGGGCACGGGGCTTCTGATGCTCTTAGCCCCCGGCGTCCTCAGCAGCCGCTCCTGCTGCTCCTCGCAGCACCCCGGCTCGACCCCGCGCTGGACCCTGACCCCAAAAGGTTTTCCTCACCCGGGACCGCTGGGTCGGGTTCCTGCCACGCCCCCGCCCCTCCTCATGAGACCCCTGTTCGCAGTGGCCCCCGGGGACCGGGCGCTGTCTCTGGAGAGATCTGGGGGCAGCAGGGTGTCAATGACGACCGCTGCACGCTCTGGCCGAAGGAGACGGAGTGGAGCGGATCCTGTGAAGACTGAACCCGGAGAGGGTGCGAGTCGGAGCCGCCGGGGCATGCTAAGGGATGGAGGGCAGCAGGGGCCTGGGACTGGCGCGCGGGACCCGGACAAAGCCACCCGCTTCCGGATGGAGGAGCTGAGACTGACCAGCACCACGTTTGCGCTGACTGGAGACTCGGCACACAACCAGGCTATGGTCCACTGGTCTGGCCACAACAGCAGCGTGAGTAGAATGGAACTGTGGGCAAAGGGGCCAGAGAAGCAAAGGGTTACTGTCCGCTATGAGATTTAATGGAGAATGTGGGGGAAAGAGGGTTCTGGACTTGGGAATTGCTTCAGAGTGAAGACTTCCCAGGGGGCCTCCCTCAGGAGTTAAGGGTGCCTACTAGGGAGCCCTCCCACCCCCAACGACAGAGTTTTCTCCAAATCACAAGGTTCAAACTGGAACTGAACAGGCAGATCTATTATTATTATTATTATTATTATTATTTTCTTCAGTGACACTGGAGGGTGGAACTGAAGACCAAAAACGGGAGTGTGGGGGTGTGCTAAAGTAGTTTTAATACAGAGATGAAAGGGTTAAATATCCAAGCCCACTGAAATTCCCTTAAGGGACTTTTCCTTACCTGGATAGATTTATGGAGTGCACTGCACAGAGAAGTCGCGTGTGGGGGCTTTTTATTTTATTTTTATACAGAACACATATCCCCTTGTTCCGCCCGAGAGAGGCCAACTGCAGTGCGATATTAGGTGCCCTTTTTATTATTATCTTTTTGTGGACCAAATGGATGCAAGTTTCAGCGCAGAGCCTCCCCAGCATCTTCCGACAGCATTAGCAAGTGCGTTTTGAGAAGCAGGGCTTTTCTAGCCCATGAAAGGGCAGTTGTTCTCAGGCATGGTCAGCCTGGGGAAGATCAGCTAGATTTCAGGGACAACAACAGGGAGTTATTTTCCTACCGACTGACCTCCTCTAGAGAAGAGCTCAAGTAAAGATTTGAATTTCCCTTATGAAGACAGGGAAGAGATTTCAGGCCCCAGGAGATTTAGTCACTGATTCTATCAGGAGATTCAGATTTTCAGAAAAGCCTGTGCATTTGAAATCTGAGGAAGCTGTACAGTTTAACCCAAAGGTAGAAACTTCAATGCTCTGAAATAGTAAAGGACCAGCTTTGATGGTAATAACTAAAGACGATTTAAAAGTGTGTGTGTAAAGTTCTCCCGACTGCTGTGAAGCCAACGAGCAAAGTTAAAGGCTTAGAGAAGGGGGGAGGGTCTCAGTTGCAGCTTCCATTGGATGATAGAGATCGAGTCTACAATGTGCAGGCGATGCAACCTGGTACCTTCGTAAATGTTTTCTGTTGTGGTGCGCATGACAGGAACGTTGCCAACAAGTGCCACTTCGCTGAGCTGTGTTCATCGCTGGGTTTTTAATGAGAGTTGAGAAGGCTTTGATGCACAGTGTCATGTATTTGGTGATCTAGCCTAGCCTGTACTGAGGACAGCAGCTGGGTTTCTTTACAATGCAACCTTCAAGATAGAGAGGCAGAGGCTGCTGTTCCAGGTGGTTCTCACGAACGGGCTCAATAAAAAATAAGTACATAAATAAATTGAAAAAAAGCTGCAATTTTACTCAAGTTCTGGACACTCTTATCCTGGTGCATCATGTCTTTTCATATCATAACTGCTAAAACTTGATCCTTTAATGTTTAAGTACAATCTTCCCATGCTGACTTATTAACTCAGGGTCCCTTAAGTGATTAACTCAAAGCTCTGGCTTTGGGGGGAGATTTTGAATACAGCAAATGTATGAGTTCTTGTATTAAAAAAAAGAAAAGAAAGATAAAACTTTGGACCCAAACTCTTCCTGGCTTTTAATGTAATTCAAGCTGTAAAATATCACTTATCCATTAGCCCTCTACTTTAGTTCATCTCTTAAAAGATCTTGGAAAGAGAATACATGTTTGGCAAATTTTAACCTCCATTTCAGAAATGGCGCCAAGCACTGCCAGCTTTTAATTTCTTTTCGATGCTTATGAGTTGATTGGGGCTTCCTAGTGCTAGGGCTTAGACAGGGAGATGAATCTAAGAAAATGCAGGAAATAATGATGATGGTGAGTGTTAAAGGTCTGAACACTCAAATTATGTTGACCACAGGGTGAGCTTGTGATCCTCTGATGTCTCATATTCCACAGCAGCCTCCCCTACCCCTCCCCAGGTCCTGCTCTGAGAATCTTGCAGAAGTACTTCTGCTGGTATATTATGTATTTATGTGGATGATGAAGAAAGAGAAACAGTGTTTATGCAGGTCCATTAAATAACGCCAGTCCTGCCTCTCTGGACCAGACTCCTCACAGATAGAAAGATTACAATATGTTGTACAGGGGAAATATTCAGAAAGACGCTTTTGGACAGCGTTGTGCAATGAAAGTAGAGGGCGAACTGAATTCCAGAGCAGCTCCTTGGTGTTTGATCAGGGCCTGTTGTTCATGCTGTGGGTTTGGAATCCATCTAAAGAGGGGGAATGCATCTAGATTACTTTCCAAGAATTCCAGGACAAGTTATTCATAACTGGGTACTGTGACTGAAATACTTTGGACCTGTTCTCAATTTTATCATATTTATCCAGAGTGAGAGATCTACTTATTTAAACCTAAGGGCAATATTAAGGAATTCCCGTGTTTTCATACTTAGATATCTCCACTGTCCTGAGTCTCCTTTCCAGGTCTCAGGGATACATGTAACAAGAATCCAAAGCCTTTGTCACATTAGATGAAATCCTGTGCTAAAAAAGAGCCTTTGATTACAATAACACCAGAGTCCAAGGTGCAAATGCACGCTAATTATAGGCTGCCTGCCAGATTGGTGAGAAACTCTGAACTGGTCTCTCATCTCCTTTCCTTCTTTTTCCTGCCCCGTCAGCTATTGGGCTCATGCAGTTGTGTAGAGACTTAGCTGTTGTGCCTCATCCGTGGGTGTGATTTACTTCCTCCACACTGCAGTTTTCTCCCTTGATGGAAACCGTTGCTAGAGTTGGTGGAACACCTGGGGGGAATCTTCTGGCATGAAAGGTGCTGGGTATGAATCATTTGTCATAAGCTTAGTGTCATAAGCAAGAACATATTGTCCCTATCCTACTCGTTCCAGGCATGCTGTGCCCTGATCTAAATTTATGTAGTAATCCTTGGAGTGTGGCAAATGTATTTGTCTATAGATGCGTTCATGGTGCTTTATGTGTTGATACTTTCATCCCAAGGGATTTTAGAGTGTTATACTTACTGATCTATAAAATCCCTCGTAGGTGGGAAGTAGGTGACAAGTGTTAATATCTCCCTTTCATGTTTTTTGCTGGAGTTAGTTTGAAGATTTCAGTTCATCACCCAGGCTTTTTCTCACTGGCAATAGTGCTAAGTGACTGGTTAACAGAACTTTTTACTTAGATTTTCCACCACGAGAACTTTTATGTTGTCCTCTTCAGAGAGTATGATGGCCTGGTCAGCATTCATGTGTCACTTTGCCTTTAATGGTTTCTAGAGTTGACATTTCTAAAGAACCTAACTGAATAAGCCGTGTTCCCACTGGGGCATGCCGGGTGTCTTTCATTCACCATCCCACCTAATCACGTTGAGTAGAAGTTCTTACATAGAAGAGGAAGCTGAGGCTCCAGCAGGATAAACGAGGACCGGGAGAAACATCCATGAATGCACAAAGCAGGAAAGAAGCTTCTGTAGTCACTGCTCTGACACCCCCAAAACAGCTTGCCTTGTGGGTTTTTAAGTAGCCAGACACTTGAGCCTTTGGACTCTGTATACTCACAATCCCATTGTGAGTTGGTGTTTGATGGCGATAGGAAGGCATCTTCTGGACTGAAGGCTTCCTCTCCTTGAGGAAAAGCGAGTGCTTTACTGTATGCCTATCATCACATAGTCGCTCTAAGTAGGGAGTTGGTTGTTCTCAGCCACCCACCTCTTCATCTTTTGTGAGAGGTGGAATTTGCACCTGGTGATTCCAGAAGGGTAACATAAGATCATTCAGCTCTGTGCTTATCTTTGGGAAGAGATCCTTCCTTCTTATTTAATGGCATATCAGATCTTATAAAGGGTAAGGAACGTGTCAGTAATTTGGCAAAATGTGTTAATACGTTGTTCCCCTTCTCTCTTCTCCAACCTGACTCATTTTTATTTTTAAACAAAGTGGAAAAAGATTTTTAGCTTTTGTTAGCAAGCTGACATTCTTACTTCTCCGGTGGGTCCTTTATGCTTTTAATGAACGCTGATGTGATGTGATGTGGGGCTTAGGGGGCAACAGTGTTAGAAGCAGATGGATCTGAGTCCCTGTCTCAACACTCCTGATTGCCACCACATTGTTTAGAGAAATCACTTGAGTTCTTTGGGACTTAGGCCCCTCTTCTGAGTCACTAGAGTGGCATGTCTTCTATAGCACTTTTTTTCCCCCTTGAAGATTTCATGTCAAGTATATTAAGTACTTTGTGTTGGCAAGTACTCAATAAGCAACCCCTCTTTAGGTGAAAAGAAGAGGTCTTTTTTTTTTTAAACTGGTAATTAAGAATGACAGATTAGAGAGCTGGTTGCTTGTATGCATTCACATCATACTGTAATTTCATGTCCTCGATTTCATCCTCTGCAATGATTTGAACAAATTAGATCATGGCCATGTTCCTTAAGATTGACTCCATGCTTTACTCAACATGCAGACTGCCGAGGTCCACCTCATTTATGTGGACAAAGAGGCTGAGATTTAGACCTGGCACAATGACCTATATTTCTTGTTTCTCATGGTTCTCTTCTCCTTCCCCCACAACACCCATGTGCAGATATGTTTCTGAGGTATCACATACTTTTTGAGCTCTCCATAGACATTTGTTTCAGCCTGTGCTTATGGATTTACAAAAGCATATGGTTTACTGGATTATTTTCATCACATCTGAGTGTTAATAATGTGCTATTTTTTGTATTGAAGGCCAGGAAAATGGTAAAATTGGAAAGTGAAAACGTCTTAGATGTTCAACGGGAATTTTCTAGAGTAAATTAAGTCTAGGAAGTCTATCTTTTCAAGTAGTTCCTTAGACATTCATAGGCTGGGCTGAAATTGAAGGTGAAGTAAACGAATTTACTAAGGGCTGACTGACATGTGTCGGAATGACTGACATGTCTCAACATTATGAGAGCCTTCCACGAATTGTATTTACTTTTAAGTCTACAAATA